GAAGGTCGTCGTCGCCGGCCCGCCCGGATGTGGGAAGGGCACACACGGACTCAAGTTGGCCGATGAGTTGCATGGCGTCCATGTTTCTACTGGCGATCTGCTGAGACAGGTCGCCGAAAAGGCAAGGGAGGAGGAGGAGGAGAGAGTTGTCGGACTGATCGCTTTGGCTGCCCAGATGAGACAACAGGGGAGGAGAGCTGCAGCGTGATGACGGTAGATTAGAGTGCTTATTTTGGTCGGCGCCTGTCACTTTTTGCTACATTACTACAATACATTCTAACTATTTTTTTCGAAAATCGCTTGAAGACGAGCTTGATGTTTATCGCAGCTTGCGTATTTACGACGACGGGGCCTGGAAAACGAAGGACCAGTAGCTCTGGGCGACGGGGGCGAGAATGCAGCGGGGTTGGAGCCAACAGGGTGGAAACAGGCAGAAACGAAAAATGTGGCCCCGTGTGGACGTTGCGTGCAGCGTTGCGTGCAGCGTTGCGTGCAGCATAATCTCGGAGCCGTTGGTATCTCGAGGGGGTGCGCACGGGCGCGGATGTGCACGGCGGTCGCCGACGGCGGCAAAGGGCGTGCCCTTTCGAGCCGTGGAAGCTTTTTCGGGCGCCATACAGGGCGTCGAATTTGGCTTTTTGAAAGCGACACTGCCCTGTGCGCAACACTGCATCCCGCTGACACCGCCGTGCGGGAGAAATTGTACCCGCCGGCGCGCCTTACAACAGCCGCTGCCGGCACCAATCCAGCAACGCGCGAGCATCCCCCCCCCCACTTGCTTTCTCTGTAATGCGCCACGTCGATAGTCCATGGAAGCAATGTCGTACACTAGTGGAAGGCGCCAGCCATGCAGCTGACAGCGCAATTTTCGACAAGAGTCTCAATCTTCTCTCCGTCATGCAACCGCATTACAGTGTAATATTTTTTCAAATGCCACGTGTACATGTGGCATTGTAGCACAGATTTCTTGTTTACAGTGGTCAGCAGTCTGCCGGGGTCGACAGAATACAGTGTAAACACGTCCGCCTAAAATTAATTACGACGGCGATAGAGTAGTTGCCTGCATCTTGAATCACGACTCGCTACACGTGTAGTCCGTGTATACAACGGCTTTTTTGGAACGTGGTTCCAGCGTCGAGTTTGATACCATACCATAGCATACCTTGCTTGACGCAGTGCGCATTGCGCCAAACAAAGGGCATCAATTTAGAACAGTGTCCTTCTACAAAAACCCGAGACCATCAATTTAGAGCAGGGTTCCCCTCTACACCAACCCCTTTGTTCACAAAAGTCGGCGATCTCCTTGCCCGCCCTCTCTAACTACTCGAGATGGGTGAATCCGACTACTCCTTCTCCCTTACCACCTTCAGCCCAAGTGGCCGCCTCGTCCAGATTGAGTATGCACTCAACGCAGTCACCGCTGGGGCCACCGCCCTCGGCATCAAAGGTAAGCCACCCTCAATTATCCCGCGTCCCATCCCATCTGTCCATCTCGATCCTTCATCCCCGAGCACTAACACCCTCCTTCCACTCGCCCACCACCACGGCAATGCTTGAACCGCGCAGCCAAAAACGGCATCGTCCTCGCCACCGAAAAGCGCCTGCCCTCCGCGCTCATGGCGGAAGACAGCGTGCAGAAAGTGTCCATGATCACCGAGTCCATCGGCCTGGTGTACGCGGGCATGGGCCCGGACTCGCGGGTGCTGGTGAAGAAGGCGCGAAAGGCGGCGCAAGCGTACGCCCGGATATACAAGGAGGTGATCCCTGTGGGGCAGCTGGTGCGCGAAGTCGCCTCGGTCATGCAGGAGTTCACGCAGAGCGGCGGCGTGCGCCCGTTCGGCGTGTCGCTGCTCGTCGCTGGCTTTGACGACGAGGGGCCGCAGCTGTGCCAGATCGACCCCAGTGGCAGCTACTATGCGTGGAAGGCCAGCGCTATCGGCAAGAATATGGTCAATGCTAAGACGTTTTTGGAAAAGAGATACTCGGACGATATCGAATTGGAGGACGCCATTCATACCGCCATTCTCACCCTCAAGGAAGGCTTTGAGGGCCAGGTCACGGAGAGTAATATTGAGATTGGCATTATCGGCGAGGATAAGGTCTTTAGGACCCTCACCCCGGCGGATACGAAGGACTACTTGACAGAACTGGAATAGAGCTTGCGTTTTGGATTGGGCGTGGTAGCTAGGGAAGAAAATGGGGCTGTGTACGCCATGTGATTAATTTTTTGTTCTCGTCTTCTTCCGTCTACAACGCTGTGCGTGTCGTTGTTTGGTCGGCCGTCATTGGGGTGCCCGTGCAGTTGGTTTCATCACGGGCGTCATGAGCATATGGGAATGAAGCAAGTAGCGCAGCGAAGATGGGGGGCATTGCAGTTTTGTTTTTGTGTCGCACTGCAGCAGCTCACCTACGCAACCGGTAGACTTCCTTGTCATCCTGCGCGCAACTTGACGAGGCCCAGCGGTTTGGCATTGACGTCAAAGAAGAATTAACCTATGGAGCTGAGCGTGTTATTTTACATTGCCCCCCCTCTGCCCCTGTTTCGCCATGACGGCACCAGGACTGCACACTATCGTAGAGCGCCTCATAAAAAATCACAGCAAGCACAATAGCCACGCAGTGCTGGCCCTCCCCCCTCCCCCGCCTCATATTTTTAACTCGCCCTATTTTCCTCCAATCCACACAGTAGCCTTGGTACACGTCCCAAACGGCACAATAATATTCACCCGGCCCCCCTCCGCCACACTCCACCTGCCTCCCTCCCCCTCCCCTCGGTCCGCCGAACCCCATCCATCACCCGCTCGGAGCTTCGCTCCCCGTCCGCGGCGCACCCGCCGCGCACCCGCCGCGCACCCATGGCCTCGAAAACTTGCACGGTGCGTACTCGCCGCGTTCTTTGCCTTTGTGAGAGTCATCGCCACAGTGGCTAACTTGACCTTGACTGTTGTATGTGCCCCGTTTGTTGTACAGCATCGCTTGCGGAAGGAAATGAGAAACATCTCAAGGGAGCCCTCTCCGCATATTACTGCTCGCCCGCTCCCTTCGAATATTCTTAGGTGGTACTTCGTGCTCGAGGGGCCCAGTGACTCCCCGTATGAGGGCGGCATTTTTATGGGGAGGCTGCAGTTTCCGGAGGAGTACCCTTTCAAACCACCAGGTAGGTTGTTTTCCGCCACTTTCATGGCCTCCGTACTGGTTTCGTTTCGCATGCAAAAGGAAAGCTAACTTTTCTGCACTACTCCACTACGTATGTGTGCGTCTATGCGATTCCAGCCGTGTACATGTGCACACCGCAGGGCCGCTTCAAATGCAACCAGAAGCTATGTCTGTCCATGTCCGACTTTCACCCGGAGACGTGGAACCCTCTGTGGTCAGTGTCTGCAGTCTTGACGGGCCTGCTTTCCTTCATGATGGGCTCGGAGGACACGGTCGGGTCCATCCAGACCTCGGCCGCGGAGAAGCGCAGCCTTGCACGCGCCTCGCACCATTTCAATCGTGCTGACCGCGTCTTCCGCGAGCTCTTCCCTGAATTCATTCGCGACGCGCCCGCCATGCCCCGCGCCATGCAGCCCAGAGCGATGTTCACCGACCAGAATGGAAACGTTAGCAATAGAAGGGGGAGGAAAAGGGAAGAGGAGGGCGAGAGCCTTGTCAGCTTGATTGCATGGCTCTTTGTCTTTCTGGCTCTCATCTTTGCCGTCTTTCGCCTCATTGCAGGCTCGCCATAGCGGTAGCAGGGTGGACGTGCCGGCCGAGCTGCTGCTCATCTGCGTTTCGAAACTGTAAATCTTCTCCGTACTCCAAGGTGTTGCTCGTTTACTCGTTAGTGCCCAAGCGCGTTTGCGTTGGCATTGTCATTGCGACATCTGCCTTGTCTCTCACAATCGCATGGTAAGGAATGCCACCTCCACTGCCCGCTGCATCAACGATGCCCAGTATGCCTTGCCCAAATACGACAAGGACAGCGACCAGAACGGAATGCGCGAATTATGAAATGCTACTGTATTTAGAGATCCAACATAAAAGGGAACTTTGGGACTGCAGTCTAGGAAATACAAAACCGACTAGACCCAGAACTATTTACACTGCACTCTCAAATCCTCCCCATCTTATCAATGTAGCGCGCTGATGCCTTCCTTCGCTGCCGTAACGAAGAAATTGAGGTCACTGGTGGAGAGACGGCACATCAGGATGACCGTCAGGGGATGCCGTCAAAGAGTAGATTTCACAAAGGCTAGGGGGAGGATTTGTAAGCATAGGTCATCACCGGGTACGGACGAGTCCGCAGGAATACAGTCAAAGCCAGACTCATCGCGAGCAGTTACAAAAAGCGCAAGCGGTTTCAATATTATACTCTGTTAGCATATGTGAGTGTTTTATGCACCTAAGCCCATCAGCAGTACTCTCTTGACTTTTAGCGGCGCGTCCTCTTGCGATCTTCATCGTAGTCTCGCCCACTCCCAGTTCTTTTCCTGTAGTGGTCACGGTCGCGGTCTCGGTCTCGATCGTAATCTCTTCGAGGGTCAGAGTACCGCTGGTTTTCGTATCCTCCCGCACCACGACGTCTCTCCTGGCCATCCTCCCTTTTTTCACTCCAAGTTCCGGACCTCCTTCGATCATGACCTCGATCTGCATACCGATCTTCATAACCAGATCTGCCCCTTTGCTCATTTCCATGACTTTGCCCTCCCGAATGCCCGCCCCGATCACCCCCAGACCTGTCGTATCCTTGCCTTCTGTCACCACCCCCTCTATTATTACTCCATCTCCGACGATCGTCGTCCTGTGAGCCTCCTTGCATTCCACCTTGACGATGTTGCCGCGGCTGATTCCCATGCACCAACCCCTGACGAGATGGGTGGACAGAAGGCTTTCCACCGCTTCCCGAACCGAAGCGAGACGAATGGTCACCAGCGGGTCTCTTGATACCACGACTCTGAGCATTGTCCTGTTGAACGTTTTGAGGCGTTTGTTTCTGTCCTGGAAACCCTCGTCCATGGCTCCCACCTCTGCCCATCCCTGGAGGTAACCCTCCAGGGGGCATGGGCATACCCGGCGGCATACCTGGTGGCATACCGGGCATGCCAGGAAGCACTGGGAACATAGGCGGAGTCGGATTCTTCCCATCCCCTTGCCGTTGTGCACCTGGCATATGTGGGAAAGGAAAAGGATGCTGAAACGCTCCTCCTTTTCCGTTTAGCATACCTGGTTGAAAAGGAAACGGCGGCATGTTTGGAGGCATCGGCATATCCCCCATCTTCATCATCCCCGGCATACCAGGAAGAGGACCGGGTGGCATCCCCATACCAGGCGGTGGAGGTGGAACTCCTTGTCCAGCCGATGGGGCTGCCGCAACTGCTGGCTTCGCTACCTTAGCCTGTACCCCCGCTCGGACAGCGGCGGCAAGCATGCCGGCCGTTCGTGCCACTCCATTTTGTTGAGGAAGGGTAATTTTCTGTCCCAATTGAGGCAATCGCTGGCCTGCCGCTGCGCTGACGCTCTTGTTACCATCTACAGTCTTGATTTTCGCAAGCATGCTATCCTCCAGCCTCATTTGCATTTGCCGTTCGCAGTACATCTTCCACGATTCTTCGTTGAACCCGTAGTTAAAGTAATCAGACAAATCTGCCCCTCTCTCAAGCCAGGGCTTCTCCGTCTGCTTCCCTATTTCCATATCGTAAACACTCTTCTGAGAAACGCCGATCTGCATCGTTGGGGTCGGAAGCATGGACAACATTCCACCCGCCCTCCCACCACTTTGCATAGTATTACCCATGACACGTTCTGGCGGCACATATCCAGGTCTCTGCCATTTGTTGGATGGGAGCCGCACTTTTCCTATTGAACCCCCAAATGATGGGCCTCCCGGTCGCTGCACAGTGTCGACGTCCTCACAATCCAGAACTACGTCAAAATCGTCATCGTCGTCCTCTGACTCGCCTTCCTCGCTTCCAGATTCGTCCGATGACCCGTTGCGTTCCTCATCCACATTTTGCTTCGCGGAGGCATCTCTCATGGGCCCATTTTTTGCCCCTGCGGAGAGGTCCTCTCCGGTGGTAGCACCTTTTGCATTTGCGGCGCTTTTAGCTTCTTTGTCCTTGTTCTCTCCTACTTCTGCCTGAGGGTTAGCGCTGGGCACATGAGATGGCAGGATTTTCGATTGATTCGCGTTTAACTTGCCTTTTCCTCCCTCACTGCTCCTCTCTGCAGTGCTCACGACTGCATCCGTCATTTTTTGCTGTTCCGCATCCTTCACATGTGGTGTCACGCTTTTGACGTCACCCTGTGAAGCTGAAACAGGTTCCGCCTTGAGCGCATCCGGAGGGCTTTCCGACGCCTGATCCCCGTCCGTTTCCGCGGGCGTCGGATTTCCATACAGCAGATGATCCTCATTATCTGATTCATTACCATCAGTCATGATGCGGCCTTTCTTAACCCTCGAAACAGAGAGGCCGGCCTTCTCTGACGGGCTCCACGCAAAAACGCGAAATTATCTGCGGGTGGCTTCTGGCGAGTTGAAAACCCACGGATGTGAGTGACTTTTGCTCCGAGCAACTGTGTCAGCAAGCGATTGAGAAAGGTACCAGGTGTGGGGAGTAAAAAAAAACGCAGGTGAGTGTTGCTGAACTGGAGCGGAAAGGATCAACGCCCTTTCGACAAGGCGTACGAAGCCCCCACATCACCAACTGGAGCAATGGAAAATGAAACTATATATGAAAAACTGGGCATTTTTTGCAAATTTTTGACATTCTCCTTGCCAGGCTCTCCGGTCCCCTTTCCTGCCAGACCACCGACACCAGGTCTCTGGATAAAAGTTCTTAAAGGAAACGATGACATTGCGGATTGCGGACTCAACATAGAAGGTCAACCCTCTGTGCATCCAGTGTTCATTGTGCCTAAATTTTTTCTATTTAGTTGCAGTTAATTATGGCGGCACAACTCCAGGAAAGCATGTCCTCCCCAGGCCATTATACTGCATTTTACTCCAGCGTGCTTCTTCTTCGCTGGCGATCACTTTCGTGTTATCTTCTTCGGAGCAATTCAAATCCATGCATTGAAAAAAAAACAGGCCTTCCGTACTACAGTATGTGTAGTATGAGTCATTCCAAACGCTTCCACTCTAGCTGCTTAAAAGGAAAGGGGAAACCCAAGTTCTTTGTTTCATTCTTATGTTTGAGAACTGTAGAAGATTTGTGGTAATAGTAATTCATGAAACAAAGTGCGTATCATTTTACACATGGGTTGCTCTTCGTGGTGCGGTGCTACTTCTAATGCAACGCAAAAACATGAAATCACACCCACCCAACTATCTTTTCGAAGCTGTCGTTGACGGGAAAGAGGGACCCCTTCGCGGACGCCCTTCTCCTTGAAATCCATGTCGAGAAAATGAATTCAGACTCTCCTGGAGCATCTTCACATGAAGACAACTTCTCGAACGAAGACAAGTCTTCGTTCACGCTTAGTTCTACTTCAAGTCCATCTTTTTTCATCTTTAGAATAAATTGGAGAAACTGGTCGGGGAGGCACACTGACATTACGTCCTCCAATAACGGCACATTCCTGGGAAGGTTTGAGATTGAACTCAGATCGAAAAGTATCTTATGTCCTTTCTGTATGCTTTTTGTCCGTATTGGGCTCTCCAGAAAAGCTCTGAGTTGCTTTGGAGTCCCAACGCAAGCAAAATCCTCTATCGGTACTGGAACAGCTTGGAACCTCAATCCTTCTCGGATCATCTCAGCTATTACTGTAGAGGTGTGGAACTCCCCAATCTCTGGTACCGGTTTAGCAAGTACTTTGCCTAGGTGTTTGGACAGTTCAACCGCGTTTCGAAAGCCATACGCTCCTGTGTTTGCGTGCGAAGAAATCTTCACCTTCTCTTGGATCTCAGTCACTGCTTTTGATGCCTCATCGAAGCGAACATACGAAAATATCGATTCCTCTCCTTCGTCTTCAAAGAAACATAGACTGCCAGAGTCGGCTGGTATGTTTCGTATTTCTGATAGGATATCATAGAAATAGATAGTGTCACAGTCTAGTGATACGGTTCTCCTCTGCCTGTGTCGAGCATTAAGATGGCCTATAATTTTGTGAAGAGTTTCTGCGGCTCCGCGGGTGGGGCTGTCAAAGTATACTGGAAACAATGAAATTCCAGTTTTCTGAAGGTAGGCCTTAATGGTTGCAAGGACCTGATGCTCTCGCTCAACAGCTCTTTGAAGCCCGATATACACTGCATCCTCGGAGTGAAGCTTGAGGTTCGAAAGGAGCTGCACAACCATGGGAATACCTGCAATACAGATTAAAGGTTTTGGGACCGTATACCCACAGTTTGAAAAACGAGAACCAAGACCAGCCATGGGGATGATGACGTTCATTACAACACTTGCCTTGATAAGCGCAAAGTTGAGCGAAGTGAAATGAAGATGTTAGTTCTACCAGATGCCACAATTATCTGTTGATACGGGGCTGCAAAAAGAATCAGAGATGCTACTGGCGATGTTATGCTATAGAAGCTCTACAGTTGGACGGCAATCTCGTCCGAGCACCAGACAATTGTCACTCAAGTGACACTGAATATTTCTAGGGAACGCATGCGATGGAGAGCGCAAGTGGTACTTCCAAGACAGAGGAGTGTTCCTGTTAGGCAAAAGGGGAAAATTGTGAGGGTATGGATTCGAATTGACGCCAATTTACTTGCCTCTATTGGGCCATGACTATTTTACCACAAAGACTGCAACTTAGGACCATTTTTATCTCCATCCTCGCATTTGCAATAGAAAGGCTGAGGTTTGATATCAGTTTCAAAAGTTTAAAAAGCTTCTGATTGTTTCCAATGATGACAAGACTGCTATTAGCAAAGGACTTTTGTTGACTGTACCGAGGATTCCCTGAATAGCTCCTGGATGGAATTTGAAGTACTTCACGAGAAATGTGCAGCGCGATGTTTCTCCAGGAAATGTGCGCACACCAAGATGTGGTACTGGTTATGGAGTTTTGGAAGCTGTAAACTTGAAGGATTGTCATATGATATATTGGAAGTCAACTTCGACTTCTATACCGGACCGTTGCTCTTGCTTTGGAAATGCAATCCGTGCGTAGAGGAAAACTAGCTCGAGCTTTTATTCACTTGCTACGCGAGGTCCAACAAGCGACTTACTTCGGCGTCGTATGATCTTATCCTTTGTCAGATTGAGAAGGTATTCTAATTGAATGAGGGCTACACGAAGAGAAGGCTGCGTCAGAATTCTGCAGATATTGCTCATCCCGTAGCCTCTGTCCACTCTTGTGAGCCTTAGCTTGGGTTTGCGAAAATCAAACGCAATTGTTGCATAAGGCAGAAACTTCATCATGCTTCTACACAGTGGTGGTTCACGTTGATTTGGAAAGATCCGTGCGGCCATCACAAAGGGCACTATGCGCGAGAAAGTGTAGAACAGAATCCTTTGTGGTTGAGTTTTCCAGAAGTCTCGCAGACCGGGTTGACTTGCCTGATTCGGTCTACAGCCAGAACTGTGACGAAATATGTAGAGACTTTATGTCGAGTAGGAAGCCGATTCTTACCCGGAACAAGCCGAGGGTATTGCTTAACAAGCACGAAATGACAATTTGCGATCTCTATTGGCAGAGAGGCTGCAACATGTAACGCTTCAACCTCTGGGGGATGTGATCGATGGTAGAATGGATATCAGAAGGATACTACTAATATGCAGAGCGTCTAGCGTCACGATCTAGTGGGAGAAGTAGTTTACTGTTATACAGGACGTCAGCTCTTCAAAAGTTAGCAGCTACATATGGTACTACCAAGCTCGGGTTAGAATGATACATCTCAACTCAAGTCCTCCATTCTATATTGTTGTAAAAGCCAGGAGCAACTAACGCATTCTCACCCGACGAAGAAGCGTTCTTCAATAGTTGCAAAGGCCGCTGCATTCGCCCGCGCCCTGTGCTTGGCTCTCAAGATACGCCTCCGTTTTAGCACTCTTTTAATTCTTTCTCTTCGTGACTCGGGGGCAGCTGGGGTCGTACGATTTCTTTTTTGACGTCGGACTTGGTCGCGAATTCGTTTCGCTTCCTTGTGTCGCTTCTCTACATCCTCCAACTCTGAATCCGAAAAGACCCATTTTGCTGCCCGCCGGCCCGCAGTCATTTTTTGCTCCAACTCCTTACCCTTCGCAGATGTAACTGTAGCCATTGGTACGCTATCCAGACAGCCATCCGCGAAAGGACTGAGGGTGTCGTACGCTGCCGTGAAACCGTTGCGTACACCCTCGTATACAACCTTAGCGCGAGATTCTAATTGTCCCACGCCTGGCCCGTCTGCTGGTGGTGCTATGGAGAATATTGCTGCGTCAGAGCTTGAATAGGGCACCTTGTTCTCAAGTTTCAGTATTTGCATGTCTTCGTTGTATATGTTCAAATGTGAACCAGTGTCTAGGTAGTCAGATACCTTTGCTCGAGGTGAAAACACATGGAAGAGGTCGAAGTATGGACTCGCAATGTGCTTTTCGTAAATGCCGGGCTTGGTACCCTTGCGGGCGGCCGATTCCGGTTTGGTGCGGAGAACAAGGATGTCTGTGCAGCCATCCCGCATTGCCGATCGGTAAGGAATCGGTTCGAAGAGCAGTCCATCTGCGTAAAAGTCACCGTTGATCTCGACAGGATTCCCAGCAATGCCGGGCACGCGTGCGCTGGCACGAAGCCGCTCCAGAAACTCATCAAGCGAGGTAAAGTCGTCAAGCGTTTGCGAACGCATAGCCGAAAGCGAGCTGGCGACGGGCTTGAGCGGCATCTGGGAGTGGTACTTCCAAAACTGATCCCAATTCAAGGGACGCTCTGTGCGCATGACATGGTCGATAAGGCGGTCAAGCAGCAGTACGGGGCGGGTTCCCTTTCCGTAAAACTCCTTGCTCCCTCGGCGCTTGCGACGGAAGTAGGGGTGGTGGCGGAGGGCCCATAGGTCGATGAAGCGCTGGCCGTTCTCCGGGATTGAGCAGATAATGTCATAGTAAATCTGTGCGCCGTAGACGGGAAGCTGCCTTGACACAAAGTATGCGCCGACGATGGCGCCCGCGCTGGATCCGTAGACGACGTCAAAGGCATTCTCCAATCCGCAGTATTTGATAGCGGCAACCATACCGGCTGAGACGGCGCCTCGCATGCCGCCGCCCTCGATGCACAGGGCGACTTTGCGGTCGTCTTTCCGTTGGCCAGGCTTTGAGGGGCGTTCTAAACGACGCTTGAGAATGTCTAACACGGGATGCAAAGGCTCGGTGGAGCTGGTATCGGCGATACGCTGGCCAACAGCAAGCGGACAATGACGGCGGGAGAGGAGATGTCGAGCCGTTTGCAATGGGGCGCGGACGGGCCACCGCGGGGCCGAAGTGAAGGCGGTCATTGGGTAGGGCCGTGAGTGTTGAAGCGTAATGCGAGCATGGCAGTTGGATGAGATGGTGGAGGTAGTGAGGGTTGGACTAGCAGGGACTAGAACGAGAAAGGTTAGGAGCGAACGGATTGTGTGTTGAAGTTGTGGCTCAAAAGGCAGCGCAAGACGAGTACACCGGGGACGGTATTTAGTGTCAGCGCTAAATTAGTGTCACCACGTAAATAGTGTCACTGACACTAATTCATGTCAGAGCCCGGGACGACGACGGATCAATCCAGACATAGAACAATCCTTCCTTTGAGCCGGACCCATCTCACTGCCGGTCCGGAGGGATGGTAGTGGTATGCGATTCGTTCGGTTCGTTTCGGGAGCACTAATTTGTGCGCGGGAGTGGAGATACGCAGGCATTCATTACTGAAAAGCGTTTTGTACCAAGAACAGGTCAACTGGTCGGTCTTTGGTCTGGTGTATAGGAAAAGGTTGGGCGATGCAGAGTTGTAACAAGGGGCATCTGCGATAAGGAAAGAGGAGGGGGGGCCAGCGTCAGGACTTGTGATTAGAGGCAGGCATGTGAGGTTTTGGTAGGACGAAAAGAAATGCTGTAGGCTCTAATGGGATCTAACTTACACTATTCATTGTTACGTTTGACAATATCAGTGACAGTAATAGCGTTTTCACTGAAATAGTGTAAGTACGGAAATAGTATCACTGACATTAATATATGTTTAGGGGTCGATATTTCCATCACGGAAAAGGTATCAGTGACACTAAATACCGTCCCCGGGTGTACAGAGTAAAGTCTCGATATCGTGAACCGAAATGTGGCGCTTCCGAGCAGCCCATTGAGTTCGCCTTACCGAGGCAGTTCACGGCGGCGGAACTGCTCGTGTACACGTGTACCCGTTTTACGGGGTATTTTACGGAGTATGATTTGGACCATTTGGACCACACCGGTGGAGACGCTCTTAGAGCGTCTCCACCAATGCCGATGATACGGTCACAGGAACACAAACTCACTTTCCTTGACTCTGTCCATCGACGGGCAACGTCGACGGGCAACGTCGACGGGCGCAATTCCATATCTGGACCACTTCACATTGTGATCCAGCCTTCCTTTTCTTTTAATTCTGCCACATCCAGAGTCTATATCAGAAGAGTCAGCTCTCGGTCAAGCCATTGATCTTGGATTAGGGGATTTTGCGGCATTTACTGGCATTGAGCAAGATCAATTTAACGGTGATTCAGATAGTGAGGACGATCGCTCTACTGTGCCAGCGAAAGACCGGACAGGACGCAAACCGTCGCTTGCTCGGTATCGCGGAACATTAGAAGCTCTATCTAACGAACTCAGTTGTATTATGACGGACGCGAATCTAGTTCAATCGGGGCTGCCTTCGAGCATCAAGTCACTTCTGTATGAGGAACAAAGCCGCGTAAGGAGGCTTCAGGGTTCGAATCTGAGGCAAAATCGTATGGATGGCTTCTGTAGTCGTTCATGGTTCGTTTCTAGTGCGCATTTCGGCCTCGATAAAGTGAACTCTGGGGTTTTCATGTTTTTGTATGTTCATGGTATCGCGTAGTTCATTCTATAGAGTCTAGTTCACGTTAGAAATACGAAAACGTCGATTCTGGGCCAAAAAAGCGGGGTGGCGCCTCCCTCATAGTCCTTCGGTTCACTGTACCGAGACAGTTCATCATATCAGGTACGCAGCTTATCGAGACTTTACTCTGTAGCAGCGAATCACTTGTCGCTGGGCTTTGAATGCCTGGCGTAAAAGCCAACCAAAATTCAATTTATAATTTCTCTCCAGCAACAGCCCGACCACTCCCACTGCCACAACCCTTGCCGCCGTATAGAAAAAATACTCGACGACTCGCCCAACTACATACATATATATATACAGTAGATTCAAACCCCGCAAAGAAGCTGGGCAAATGTCCCATTAAACCTGATCAAAACACCAGCACTCCGACCAAGCAGCGTGCACACAAACGGGATCACTTTGTTTCTCTTCGTTCTGTCTTGACCTTCGAACACAAACCAGTTTGTACGTCATTAAAAACTTCATGATAATATTACATCCCTCAGAGATAGGTACCCTTCTGCCGCCTTCTATGCCAGTGCTTTCTTCAGTAGTGTGAATTACCTTCGACTACACCCACCGCTGCTTGTAGACACGTCTGGCAAATCAAGTCATTCGCGGGCCTACCAACATGGCGCTTCGAGGTCCGCAACCAGCTTTCTTGTCTATACACACGATGGCGCTGGACCTACCAACTCAGCATTTACACAACTTCTGTGGAACAAGCACCATCAGCGAACACAGCCCCATATCCCAGGTCCTATTCAATTTGGGACAAGTGGGCACTAAGATATTTGTTCATACCCATATTGGTAACAGTGCTGTTACCGTCAAACACAGCTTGCAACTTTGCATCACAGAGTATCCTATTTCCGTTATTCGGATCCTTGAGTTGGTTCTCCCTAATGTAAACCCAAATCTTCTTGACGACCTCTGTCCTCGGTAGCTGCGCTTCGCCGCAAACGGCGAAGAGCTCCTCCGACAATTGCATCGGTTTGAGAAGGCCCGACGGCTTTCTCGGTGCACTACTGCTACTTTTTGCTTTTGACACTTTTGCCTTCTTGGACGACTTCTTCTCCTGAAAAACGCCGTTCGCAATATTCTCGTCCCTCTTCCGTTGCTTTTCAATCAAGTACTTCTCCTCCACTTCTTTGGCTAGGTCCTTAAGCTCCTGGCTGCAGTCATCTGGTTTGTGTACGAGCCCCGAAATGATCTTAGCGAGGGAAAAAAAAGTGAAAGTATCGACCTTCAAAGCAGTCTTCAGTGCGTCATCGCATAAAATACTTCTCCGATCATTCGGGTCCTGCAGGTCATGTTTTTTAACATACTCTGAGACGCGCTTCGGAATATGAGATCTAGGTATTACGGTGTCGCCCAGAAAGGTGGCCAGCGGCTCCGCAAGGACAACAGCGCGCTCAATACCGGTGAGTCGAACGGGCTTGAGCAGTTTGGGATCCAGCGCTTCGGCGCTCTTCCGCTTGCGCGGGGCCGGGGCAGAGGCCGCGCGCTCCAAATCCTCTAGATACTTGTTGATTGTTTCACGGACAAAGCGCTTGTGCGGAGCCAATTGCTCGGCTTCCACGGAAAATTTGGTGCACAGCATCGTCATGACCATACGCATGGTAATCTTCTCCAGGTCATTTGTGCGCAGGATGTCGGCAACGGCGGCTTTGAGGTCAGACTGGTCTGGAACGTCTCCCATGATGGATAGAAGGGGGTGGTGGGTGGGCGGGGGTGGGGACAGGGGTGCTGAGGGGGGAGGTTCGGGTTTTGGTAGGGAAGGGTGTTGACGTGGATGTGAAAATAGATGATATTGAGGGGGTGAGGTGGGCGACAAACGGGTGCGTGTGGTTTCGTTTCGTTTCGGTTGCGGGGACAGGGCGTGCGGTCGGCAGTGTGCGTCGGTGTCGCAGGGAGGGAGGCGACCCGCGCGGCGTCCGATTCGGGCGGTGAAACGAAATCTGAACCCGTCTGATAAATTTCTGCAATACTGTATTTTTCTCCTCGCCACACGCCACTGAGATCCCGCGCTGCCAAGACTTGTCGTGCCCCCGTTGGCTGTGCCGTCCACCAGCCCGGTCATCCAATCAAATTACTCATGACCACGCGTCCCAGCGCAACACTGTACAAGTGCTGTCAGACGGCCCGAATTACACCTGGTTGCCTTGTGTAATGGGGTCTCCTTGACTTGCATTACACCAGCCCCCCTTGACGCTTTCGATCTCAATAGGCTGTACCATACCCAAGGGTACTGTACTTGTAGATCTGGATCTGTGTGCCTACAGGCACTGACGCACTGCTGTTGTCTTCATGTTGACCGTGTCAACAACGCTCTTCAAACCCTCCCCCCCCCCGACGTCGGACACCGCACAAACCGACGTAACCGCCTCTCTCTATCCCCTGCTCCTTCTTGCAACGCTAACACTCCCCTCCCCCCATCGTCCCTCCCCCCATCGTCTCATCCCAAAATGCTTCCGTCAGCTTTCCTCCCCGCTGCCCCCCTGCCGGCCCGCTCCCTCCGTGCCCCCCACACCCCCTCCCTGCGCCGACCGGTTTTCTTCGCCACGGCCAGCTCCCACCCTGACCCTTCCCCACCCTCCCTTCTCTCCCGTCTCTCCGTCTCCGCCATCGCGCTTGCCGCCGTTGCACTTCCCCTCCCCTCTCTGGCCGCGCGCAAGCACTCCAACATCACAATGACCGACCAGGTCCCCAACTTCACGCTCCCCTCGCAGGAAGCCGCCACGGATCGCGGCCGCTCTGCAAACCCCCTCCTCCTGCGCGTCGTCTTCGTCGCCAAGCGCGCCGTCCCCGCCGTCGCAGTCATCGCCCTGGCCGTCTGGGGCGTCCGCAGCGTCCTCCGCCGCGCCCAGGAGCGCGAGCTGCGCGACTTCCAGACGCAGCTCTCCTCCTTCTCCTCCCAGCTTGACTTAGATGCAAATTCAACCGCAGCGGGCGGGGAGAAGGACTCGCTCCTCGATTCCGCCAATACAGCAAAGCAGATCTTGGAAACTTCGTCAAAGCGCTACAAGTTTCGCGCCGATTCCACCCAGGAGAAGGACGATGACATCGAATCCAAAGTCCGCCTCGATCTATTCCGTGCGGGCGGCTCTGCGAACCCCAAAGATGCGGCTAACACCCAGATGCCTCCGGCAGAGGCTCCGGACGCGGCAAAGGCCGAAATCTCACAGGTGCAGCCGGCGTCGCCAATGGAGTCCACTATCGCCGAGTGCTTGAAACAGGTCGAGGCTGGCGACGATGCCGCAAAGGAAGCCGCAAAGTCCTCGTTGAACGCCGCTCGCGCCACAGCGGGGCTTTCCGAGAGCGAAGGCGCGAAGCTGTTCGATACTTACGTCTCGAGTGTGGTATCGGCCCAGATCGATAGAGCCGCCATCAATCTGGATTCGGACGATCGGGAAAGCCTGCGCTACCTCCACCAACTGGCCGTCACCATGGGAGCCGCAAAGGCACTTGGACCCGACGCAGCCCTGCGGTATGTCGGAGAACATGCGGGGGAAGAGAAGACGCGCGAGGAGTTGTACAGACGGTATGCCGTGTTTTGTTTGTCGAGTGAGGAACGTGTCAAGGATGATTTGCAGAGTTTAGTCGACATGCAAACCTTGCTGGCTGTGACCGACGCGAGGGCGGAGACGATTAACACGGAGATTGCGAAGGGAATGTTTCAGGTGGCCGTGAGCGCCGCGATGGCTGACGGCAGTTTAGACCCGGGTTCTCGCGATGCGTTGGAGAAGCTGAAACAGAGCTTCGGCGACTTTTTAGACGGTGGTAGCGCCGATTCTATCATGTCTGAGGTTGCTGTGATGCGAGCGATGTACTCGCTGCAGCAGCTTTTGCAGGAGCAGGGCGTTTCAGATGATGACGTGCTCGAGCTGCGGAAGATGTGCAAGGAACTCGGTGTAGACATTGATGAAATGTTGCAAAACGCTGACACCTTGGGGGATGCGCTTGGGCCGGAGGCAAAGGAGTTTGTGGAGAGTTTGAGAGGCTTGCTGTCGGATTCAAAGGGGGAGGGTATTGTTACCGATACCACGCAGATTGAATCGTTGAAAGACGGTTCAGTCAAGGCAGATTCGTCGTCATAGTGGGACTGTTTTGTTCATGAATAAAAAAGTCATGGGAGCCAATAACTGCGAAACTCATTTTTTTGTGCAACTTTATATGCTACTCTTGGAGAAGTGCTTCACCTCTGCAAAAGACAACCTCGATGGTAAGCACTGTTGTATCTAGCGGCGGCTTCGCAGCATCATTGTCTATCTGCGGGCGATGATGGCTGCGAAAGGCATGTTTGTCAAGTTGGGGATGCACCCGTGGACAGAACTTCTTTCAGTCCTAGAAGGTCAAGGGAAAAAAATAACAGGCTTGCACATCGCAAGGAGGTGTAGATGATGCGTCCTATGGGGTTCGAACCCATGCTCATTCGTCAAACTTCAGTCTCAAACGTGAAGCAGAACGCACAAGATATCCTTGAGTCTGCCGCCTTAACCACTCGGCCAAAGACGCATTGAGCGCTGTGCTGCACCTTGTTGTGTCGAACAAGTGAAATTTTATGGTATATATATCCATGGAATATTTTAGCCCAATAAAAATGACACACGTGTACAGAATACCACGTGTGAACGTGGCGTTGGGTGCAGGATCTTGATGAAAGCCCGCCTTTGTATTGGAGTGGAGACACGTACAAGCAGTTGGTCACTTACCATGGCCCCCACACGCACTCCACCAAACTTGTCAGGGTAAGCCCTTCGAACGTCTAGGAAGAGTACAACCTTTCAAACCGCTACCCAAACACAAAAGAAATGGCGGATGATCCTGCGCTTGCACAGTGGCGCGCCCAGCGCATGGCCCAGATGCAGGGAGGCGGAATGCCCGGGCAATCTGGACCATCAGCAGAGCAAGTTGAGCAGCAGCGCAAGAAGCAAGAGTGAGTCAACTTGCCGCATAGTCTACTTGGTATTCGTTTCAAAACCTCCGCTCGTACTAACCGCTACAACGCCTTCACGCTACCATTCAGAGTCATGCAAGAGCAGCGACGGATCATGCTGAAGCAAATCCTGAGCAATGAAGCGCGCGAAAAGTTGTCTAACATTCGACTCGTAAAGCCCGAGCGCGCAGAGCAGGTGGAAAACTACATCCTCAGCGCAGCGCAGTCGGGCCAGCTGCCGGGCAAAATATCTGAGGAGCAGTTTAAGGATTTGCTGAGAAACGTGACAGAGAAGGAACAAAGCAAGAACAAGGTGACGATCATGCGGAGGAGACCACTCTACGATGACGATGACGACGATGACGACGACGACTTTTAGGGAATAGCGCTAATCCTGTGCGCAATCTAGTCTTGACCTCTCTGGCACCGTCTACTACACCGCTTGTACAGGGTTCCGCACTACAAGTCCTACTACATCATGACGTTGAACGCGCACCCGGGACATACGTTTACTCCATCTCGTAGCCGCGTTAAAGGTTGCAAAACGAAACAGACCGCTGCCGAAATCCTAGTCCACCAGAACAGGGCTATCCAATACCGCAACGCCCGCCGCGACCCCACCGTCATCCTGAGTAGCGGCCTTACTCCTAAGCAAAGTTCCCGCCGCAAAATTCTCCACCAGCTCCCCCTTAACCGCGACGCCAACGCCGTACACGCCAAACTCGGAGACGATGTCCGTCTCCTCAAACGCGCCCTCCCTAACGAGCACGTTCTTCACCACCACTGGGCGTATCCTTTCCATGAGTACATACGCGGCCCTCTCCCCCGGAGTCATCTTCAGCAGCGCGTCCCTCATCTCTTCCCCGTACAGGTTATTCCCGCCGCCCTCCCTCTGCGGCTTGAGCACATAGTCGGCCGGATTCTCCACGGCCATCTTGGCGACTTTGTCCCCGCCCTCGCTCTCGGCCAGCGACCACTGCCCCGCAAACGTCTTCCGGATCTCTGCGGCCTCCTTCTTCCCGACAAACCGCTCCACCTCGCCCGGGCGGTCCAGCACCTGCTGCACTTTCTTCGTGCCGACCAGGTGCATGGCCACACTCGGGCACTTGGCCGCCAAGCTGCCCTCCATCATCTCCCGCGCCGTCCACTCCAGGTCAGTCGGGTAGTCATCTGGGGCGTACCCCGCGCGATAATACACAACGCTGACCTCCGCTTCGCGCCCCTCCAAACTCACCCACAGACGTCCCTCTCCATCGACTCTTCCCACCTCGGCCACGGCGGCAAAACTCAGGCGGATCATCTCGACACTATGGGCGTCCCAGAGCTCAAACCTCAACAAATCCTGGTCGTAGGAATTCCTTTCCCCCGGCTGAACGATCATAACAGTGACACTCGCCTCCCCCCCATGCAGCCTCTGATACTCCCCTCGTGCCTTAGCAATCCCCCTTGCCAGTCCCTGATCCGCGGCGTTCTCCGGCAGGTTCCCGACCACGCCTCCCCCCACGGCCGGGTGGGTCGCCAAGTGCCTGTGCATGGCCGAAGTGCGGGCCGACAAGCACGCGAACGACGACGCGATGACGTTGATCTCGACCATGCGCAAGCTGCCTGCGCCCCTGTCGTCCTTCTCGGCGTTCTCAAAGTAGTCGAAGCGGGAGATGGCCAAGTCGACGCTCTCCTTCTCGCGGCCCTTGCCGAGCATGGCGAGCAGCCTGCCGGTGAAGCCGGGGTCCGCGCGGGCGGTCTCGGCCAGCGTGGCGCGCAGGTAGGCGTAGTCGTCGGCGACGCTCGCGACCAGGCGGTTGAGCGCCGGCGTGATGCGGAGCGCGTGCGCGTACGCGGCCGCGCCCAGCGGCGACGGGCGGAACGTCATCGGCGCGTGCGCCAGCGACACGCCCGCGGCTGCCGTCTTCGTCTGCGCGACGACGATG